GGGACCCTGCTGGAAAGAGATGGCACATTCAAACTAGAATAATTTAGGGGGGGGGGTTATTTACAAAAAAACTATTCTAAAAAGTGTGGAAGTATGGGAGAAACACAAGGGATACTGTGGTAACCCAGTGGAGGTGTTACTACCCCTAGACCAGAAGGGAGGAAAGGAAGGGGCAGTTACTAGCACTTAGAAGGAGAGAGGTGTATAGAGAAGGCTGCTGTCGGAGTGACCTTCAGTAGAGTGACCAACACTTAGCCAGGTTGACACAGACTGGCAGCCTGAGGGCACTCTCTGTCTTCCTTCCCTCTCACCTCCTGTCAGGGCTCCCCATGGGCTGAACCCAATCAGAAACCAGAAGGCACAGAGTACTTTGATTTTGTCCTCATAGGTCCCAGGGTAGAGAGCAGGACTGAGATGGCAGAGTGGATCTGGAGAGCAAGCAGGCATCTGGCACATACCCCATGTAGGTGTCCAGTTACTTCTAGGAGAGGCATAAAAATCTCAATAGAAAAGTGAAACTCACTTTTATTTTTTTAAACAGCTTTATCAAGGTATGATTGACATACAATAAACTGCACATACTTAAAGTACACAATTTGATAATTTTTGATATGTATATGCCTGTGAACCCATCACCACATCAAAACACATTCCTGGGGGCAGGCCCAGGCTTATGTGCTGCTCTCTGTAGAGCTTCCTGTTATTCTCAAGAGAGCACATTAAAATGTAGATGAGAGGGAGTGATGTGTTATCGATAACATTGCTCACAGTTATTACAGGACAATTGAGTGTTTAGCATATGCTTGGCATTTTATGTTACCTCATTAATCCTCCAAACATCCCCAGGAGGTAGATAATATTTTCCTTCTTTTACAGATGAGGAACTTGAGGCTTACATACTAAAGTTATTGAAGTTAGTAACTTATTGAAGATCCTGTCCAAGGTTACAAGCTAATAAGTTATAGAGCTGGGATGGGATTTAATTCCCTGAGCTGTATGCTATTCTGCTTTAAATTATAAAGCAAGTAAATCACTTGCAAACACATTTTTTTTAACCATTTGTTAATAACAAAAATCACTTGCTACCCACCTTGCAGCTGATGGAAGCAACAGAGAGACATGGCCTGGATTGAGAACTGGCACTGTCAACCTCGGGAGTCCCCAGAGCCCCGTTTATTCTAGGGAAGTCAGGAGCTGCCAGTGCTGGGGAAGGCTGGTGCCTGGTGCAGAACTGAATGTGAGACTTTGAATGTGTTCTTTCATACAAAGAAGAGCACCTCCCTGGCTAGGCAAGGACAAGGAGGGTGCATGTGTCAAGTTTAAGGGAAGGGCGGTGCTGGGCAGGCAAAGAGGGAAGCCCCTGGGGACACCTGGCTGCGCTGCAGCAGGGGGCACAGTGGCATCCTTCGGCACAGGAACTGTGAGAGAACATTGGCTGCTGTGCTGTCCTTCAAGCTCTCCAGGCAATTTCAGGTCCCAGAGCCTTTGAGCTTTTTATTCCTTATGCCTGGATTGCTCCAGATTTTTGCAAGGCTTACTCCCTCGGTGTCTTTAGGTGACTGCTCAAATATCTCCTCCTCAGAGAAGCTGTCTTTTGCCACACTATCTCAAAGTGTCACCTCTGTCGCTATCTCCCTCTCCTACTTTATTTTTCCTCATACCAATGATCACTATCAGACATTAGAACATCAGTTCTCAAACTTTTTGGTCTTAGAACTTCCACACTTGCTTAAACATTATTGAAGACTGCAAAGACGTTTACATGGGTTATACCTTTAAAAATTTGCTGTATCAGGGGCCAGCCCGGTGGCGCACTGGAGAGTGTGCCGCTTGAGAGCGCGGCGGCACTCCCGCTGAGGGTTCGGATCCCATGTGGAGACCGGTTCCCGCTCACTGGCTGAGCGCGGTGCGGGCGCAACACCAAGGGTTGCGCGGTGCGGGCACAACACCGAGGGTTGCGATCCCGTTGCCGGTCCCCGGTACAGGCGCAACACCGAGGGTTGCAATCCCATTACTGATCAGTAAAAAAAAGACAAAAAGGAAAAAAAAAATAAAAAAATTTGCTGTATCAGAAATTAAAACAGTCTCGCCATATACCAAAATCAACTCAAAATGGATTGAAGACTTAAATATAAGACCTGATACTATAAAACTCCTAGAAGAAAACATAGGGGAAACACTTCAGCATGTAGGACTGGGCAAGGACTTTGTGAATATGACCTCAAAAGCACAGGCAACAAAAGAAGAAAATGAACAAATGGGATTATATCAAACTAAAAGCTTCTGCCCAGCAAAAGAAACAATTAACAGAGTGAAAAGAAAACCCACGGAATGGGAGAAAATATTTGCAAACTATGAATCCGACAAGGGATTAATGTCCCAAATATACAGGGAACTCAAACAACTTAACAGTGAAAAATTTAAAAAGCAACCTGATTGAAAAATGGGCAAAGGAGCTGAATACACATTTCTCAAGGAAGATATATGAATGGCCAACAAATACATGAAAAAATGCTCAACATCACTAAGCATCAGGGAAATGCAAGTCAAAACCACACTGAGATATCATGTCACCCCAGTTAGACTGACTATTATTAAAAAGACATAGAATAACAAAAGCTGGCGAGGATGCAGAGAAAGGGGAACCCTCCTACACTGTTGGTGGGACTGTAAATTAGTGCAGCCATTATGGAAAACAGCATGGAGGTTTCTCAAACAACTACAGATAGAACTGTCATCTGATCTAGCAATCCCACTGCTGGGTGTGTACCTGAAGGAATGGAAATCATCATGTCAAAGGGATACTGTGCTCCCATATTTACTGCAGCCCTATTTACAATAGCCAAGATATGGAACCAACCTAAATGTCCAGTGACAGACAACTGGATAAGGAAAATGTGGCATATATACTCAGTGGAATACTACCATAAAAAAGAATGAAATTCTGCCATTCGCAGCAGCTTGGATGAACTTGGAGAAAATTATGTGAAGTGAAATTAGCAAGGCACAGATAGAGAAATACTGAATGTCCTCACTTATAAGTGGGAGCTAAAAAATAAACAAATAAGAGAAAGAAAGAACAATCACAATAATAGGTTGAACTTTCGAAAGGAGAGAAGAGAACTGTGGTTACTAGAGGTGAGAAAAGGGGAGGTGGAGCAGGTTAGCAAGAAATTAGTTAATGGACACGGAATAATTTTGTTTTCTTATGATGAGTATGCTGATTATCCTGATTTGATCATCACATACTGTACATAGGTATTGATATTCAACTCTGTACCTCACAAACATGAATAATCAATTATGTTTCAATAAAAGATATTAAAACAAATTTTTAAATGTTTTCATTCGTTGAAAAACAGCAATAATAAACCTGTTACATGTTAATGTAAATTATGAAAATAGCTGTATTTTCCAAAAAACTGATTAAGAAGAGTGACATTGTTTTCCATTTTTTGTACATCTTTTCTGTTAATAGAAGATGGCTAGATTGTTCCATCTGCTTCTGCATTCAATCCACTGTGATATATTGATGTGGTAAAAGTTGATGAGGAAAACCTGGCCACACGTGGATTTGTAGTTACAAAAGGAAGGGATATTTTAATGGACTTTTCCTATAATTGTGGATATTCTATTTTAATATTACACCAAAGCTCAACAAGTGTTTTCCTATACATTAATTGTTGTATGGGCCTTGTATTTTGGATATTCTTGTGTGAGCCACTCTCATGCAGCAGTCAGATGCTTTTTTAAGGAAAAGTTTGTAAGGATACTGTGGGCACTCAAGCGGAGGGGGAGGGGGAAAGCATTCCCTAGCAATATGGCGTCCTTCCAGGTTCTTCTCCGCAGTAGAAGCCCGCCGGTGCCAGACCTCAACCAGTCACAGGTCAAGGCTCACCTCCTGCCCAGCCCCGTCCAATCAGCTACCGCCCCGTCCACCCCCTATCAAAACCCAGAATGCAGCTCCCTATAAATATACGCGCAGTCCTTGAATAAAGTTGAACTTCTCTGGCGAACTGTCAGCTCGGGTCCTGTCGTCTTATCAGCTTGGGTCCGTGCGCCCTTTCAAAGTTGATCACTGTCTTTTGAGATTATGGTTTACGTAAAGTGGAATAAGAAATGTGAATCATCAGTTTCATTATACTGTTAAATAACCCCTAAAAAATCAAGTCTTTAGGGCCAGCCTGGTGGCGCACTGGATAGTGCGCCGCTTGGGAAGTGCGGTGGCGCTCCCGCCCGAGGGTTCGGATCCCACATACAGACTGGTTCCCGCTCACTGGCTGAGTGAGGCGCGGGAGCAGCACCGAGGGTTGCAATCCCATTGCCGGTCCCGGTCCGGAATGGGGGCGACACTGAGGGTTGCGATCCGTTGCTGGACACGGAAAAAGACAAAAAAAAAAAAAAAAAAAAAAAAAAAAAAAAAAA